TCAACCTCCATATGTTTGCACTACTTGAAAACTTTTCTTCTTTTGCGCACCCTTGTCCTTCCAATAGTTCAACCACTTTCCTTCAACATAGCTAATTTCAACGATACTGAAAGCGCAAGCTTCGTTGGATACACAGGCGTAACAAAGATTGAGAACGGAACCCTAGTTCTCAACTCACTCGTCAACGACGGAGTGGGACGAGCCATCTATGCCCAACCTCTGCATCTCAAAAACTCTTCTAATGGAAATGTCACTCACTTTTCTACTCGTTTTTCGTTCACTATCGACGTGTCCACAAAATCCTACGGTGACGGTTTTGCCTTCTACGTGGCACCTCTTGCATACCCTATTCCGCCGGATGCAGGTGGTGGTCTTCTTGGCCTATACGGTGACACGCAAAACATCATTGCCGTCGAATTTGACACTTACCTGAACGAATATGGTCCGCATATGTACCACGTGGGGATCAACAACAACTCCAAGGTGTCCCTTGCTACTTCCTGGTTTGATATTGAGAGAAACATAGGGAACATGGTGCATGTGTTAATTACTTACAATGCTTCAGCAAAACTCCTTTCTGTTCCTCTCTTTCCTGCTGTTCTTAATTATATAGAAATCTGAATTTAACTCACACGTCATTTAATATATTATTTAATATATATCATTAATTTATTAATATTATAATTAAGTCCTTATAATCTATTAATTATTTTTTTAATTTTTAATTTTTTAATTTTTCTTTTTATTTAAATATTAGTTTTTTTTTCTTTTTGAGTTCATACAAAAATTAAATAATTCTTTTATAAATAATTACCATTTCTTTTTATTTTTAAAAAGTTAATCAAAATATAAATTTCTAAAATTATTTTAATTAAACACATAGAATAAATATATTAATATCTAGACTTGGTACTCATACATATATATAGGTACATATATTATTTTTTTTTAGAATTTTTTATTTTTATTATATATTTTTAGTATAGAGGTTCCTTCCTGAGTCTTAGTAGCCTTGCCACCACCTGCACCCTATAATTTTTCAACGGTCTACTAAGGTCAAGAGCCTCGTGATGGAGATAGGGACCATCACCCTCTTTAATTCATGCTTCAAACTTTCAACAAGCTTTCTACACCTCTAAGCCATATGGGAGTATAAATGAGCCAAATGCTCTCAAACTTCATAACATACATGAAAATAAATATGCTCTCTTGGTACAATTTCATAAACTCCACCTCCTTAGGTATCTCATGTTATCTAAAAAGTACTTCTCAAGGAATACACTCTTAAAGTACTCTTAGTCCACCTCAACTCTCGAGCATTTAACAAATACCCGTCCACCAAAACTATGCTTCTCCCAATAACCATATACATCACATAAGCTTCCGGAACGGTCCATTCTCCTTCCGGAACGGCCCGTTCTTCAACCAGAACGGCCCGTTCTGGAATTTGAAACGGCCCGTTCTCCCTCCAGAATGGCCCGTTCCGGGCTACTAAATCAGCCACATTTTTTTTAACCACGTTACAGTATCGGTAATATTTCCTGTATCACCATTATTTTGTATCTAAAGAAAAATAATGAAATCAAAATCAATAAGATAATCTAAAAATCAAAAATTAAAAATAATAATAAATACCAAACTGATCAATAAAATCATTAAAGCACAACAACTAAACAACATTAATGAAATGAAAACTCACATAATTAATATAATATTTAAATCATGATGGTAATTCTTTTATTTTTGCAAATTATAAAGATATATACATACTATCTTATCGCGATGGTAATATAATACAAATCTTTAAAATTCCAATATTATTGAAATCGAAATGATAACAAGGGTTTATATACAAAATTTGAATTTAAATTAAAAATAATCTTAAAATAAATTATTAAATCACAATATAAAAATATTGCAAGACCCATTGTCATTTATCTCACACCAAGTGGTTGGAGGGAGCAAATAGCCGAATTCCTGCCACAACTTACCTGGCCCAATCTTATGTGTTTGAGCTAATGTTGTGGAATTTGTATTTTTTTATGCAATATTTTCTCTTCAATCTCTCTCCATCAACATTAATAACAATTAAATATATTTAATAACTCAAATTTAATCTTATAAAAATTATTTAAGAAGATTCATTAATTATAAAATTAAATTTAAGTCATTAAATATATCTAATTATTATTAATATTATTGGAGAGAGAATATTGTAAGAAAAGATCCAAATTCAATTTTCTGTGGTCCATTTACTGGTAGGGTACGCAAAATTAATTACACTTAATTAAACAACTAAATAATTGTGTTTTTATTAAAAAACTTGAACTTCTAAACATGCAGTTCGGCGCACTGCAACTAATAAAAAAAAATAAAAAATAAAAAATCTCTCTTTATTCAAATTTGTCCGCTGCCTCACTTTTTTTTTTTTTTTTTCAGACTTTGCTTCAGGCCTATTACAAATCAGAATACGAGCCTATTTATATTTTAAAATAACTTTCAAAGCGAAGCCTTTTTTTTTCTTTTCCAAAATCTGAATTTTTTTATGTATTCAATTTTCTACTTAAATAACTTTTTATGACATGTTTTTTTTGGTAGAGAGAAAATAAAATAGATAAGAAATAGAGTGGAGAGAAATAGAAAAAAAAGTGAGTATAAATAAATAAAAATTTGATTATTTGATTGAAGATAAATAAGTGAACAATAGATGAAAAATAAAGTATATATTAGAAAAGAGAGAAATAAATAAATAAATATAAATAAAATAAAATAAAAGTAAAAAAATAAGGAAATAATAATATTTTTAAAATGGTTTTTTTGTTATTTTTATTTTATTTTATTTATTAAATAAAAACAATATAATTAAATTAAAAATATATTGAAATAAAAAAAAATTAAAACTAAGTAAATGATTCTAAAGTAATTTTTTTTGATTAAAAACTAATTAAAATAATAAATTTAAAGTATATAGACATATTCAAAATATAATATACAGTTTTATAATCGAATAGAAAGAATTTGTATTCGAATTTTTCTTATTTGAATAAAAGTTTCAATCGAATAAAAGTCGAATTCCTAAATATTAGAATGTATTCAAATAGCATTTTTATTTATTTCAACAATATTTTTCTCACGATTTTAAATCATTGATATTTGTTTTTAAAAAAAAAATTATAGTGATTTTTATCAACAAAATTACAAAAAAAACAGTAATATACATTTTCTGACGATTCTAAAATTGCTAGTAAATGTTATCAGCATAACTCTTTCATTACATTTTCGTGTATATTAATGTAAAAATAGGAATGTGTGGGATCCACACTTTTTAATTTTTCACTTGATACAATTATCTTACATCAAACAACTCTTTAATTTTATTTCTTATCCATTTCTCCTCTCTTTAACTGATTTCTCTATTGTATCTTTGGTAATAAATAGGGACTTATTGATGTATACTCAATTCTAATTATACATTTAATCATATTTTAGGAAACATAAAAAATAATAGTAAATTATGAATTTGCATTCAATGCAAAAAGATAGGATGAACTTTTATACATTGACATTTTTATTTTTGAAATGCTATAGGTAACTTACCTTTTATGTTTGTTTAGTTTTTTACTGATCTTATCTAGGGATGTAATTCAATTCAATTCAATTTGTTGTAAAGAATTTTTATTTTAGTTTAGTTTTAATGAACTATTTTTTGATTCAGTGTAGTTTTTAATAATCCAATACAATTCATTTAGTCTACCCTTAATTATTGACATGAGCAATTTTGAAAGACTAAATAAGGTGTAATTAGACAATATAAGACAAAATAAGGTGGGTTTGATTCATGCTTTCAACAAAGGGATCTTGTTGATAGATAATTTGTAAGTACATTTATAAGTGCTCATAAAGCCTTTAGATTTGCTTCGACCCTAACGAGCCTCCAAAACCCAACTCACCTAAACTTTTCATACAAAAAAAAGTCTTGCCTTTTGAAATACCACATAAAATACTACAACCAATGAGAAATTACAAATTATTTATAAAAAAAAGTCACAGTTCTCATTATAATAATTGTTCACAACTCTAGCTGACTACCTTTATTTTGCTGAGTAAAATTGAGGACCACACTTGAAAATTTTGGGTCTTTCTCATTTCAACTTAAATAAATTTTTATAGATCAAAAAGAACAATATTGTCTTTAAATAATATTTTGAGTTTAAGTCTTATATATGAAAAACGTGATTAGGAGAGAATATTTCATTAGAACTGATTAACTAAATTTTTTAATAAAAATTAGTCATTGACGATACTAATAAATATTTCATATCAATAATATAATTAAAAAACAACCTTGTTTAGCATGTGTTTGTTGTGAACCTTATGTAAACTGAAGTTAAAGAAAAAGTTGAGAGAAAGTGCAATCATAAAATCTTAACATTGTTATTTTTTTTCTTCTTTAATATAAAATTGTTATATAAGGCATCAACATCTTCCAACGTCATTATCCTATCATATAATTGAATTTTAACACACAGCGCATATTAAATATGTCCACCCAAATATTAACACACAAATTGAGACATGAATTCACAAACAATAAAAATGAGGAGAACAATTTGCATCAGCTTAGTGACGAGAATTAAAGTATTGTGTACAATGTTTTTATTCAAATCTTAGAGTCATGGTTGTAATTTTCATGAATAAAAATTAAATTAGAATGAAGGTGTTAGAGTAAAGTTGGCAGAACATCTGGTAGATGCGAAGGAGAAAATGGATAGAAGATGTATTGATTTTTTATTATTTTTTTTAACGAAGGGAAGCAAGAGTATGTTATCCTTAACTATTGGTTATTATTTTCATTTTGTAGTTTACTTTGCTGTTTTTATTCTCTTAGTGCCTTTTCCCATTGCAACAAGTGTGATTTTTTTTTTTTAAATTAGCTAGATCTTTATCAGTTTTTTTTATTTTATGGATTAATAAAGTAAAGAAGAGAAAATAAGACATGTACAAAGAAGAATAACAAGTAATGTCAATCAATTAACAATATATACTTGAAAAGTACTCTAAGTGGCACATATCTCAAACTTAAGCCTTAAACACCACTAATCTATGGTTTCAGGTAGATTTTCTAGTAACATCAATGTAAAATTACATGTTATCTTTCACGGTCTTTATAATGCACACTCAATATTGGATTCACTCATATCATTTGTGATTTGGACTCTCAAACTTAATTTTATAAGGAGCGGCTATCCACCATCCTTATGCTCCAATTGTGAACAACATCAAAATATTTCCTGGTAGTGCATGAGAACTTTGCTTCAATCATACATTGAGAGATGAAAATGTTTCCCTTGATTAACCTGCAAAGTTCAAAGCCAAATCTCAAAGTCAATTTATCTACATACCTTTTTGTCCATCCTCCCTAAACACCATACTTAAGATGGAAGTTTAGGAAACTATTTTTTGTTAGAATTTAGTTTTTTGTTTTTGTTTTGTACTTTCCTACTTATAAAATAAATAAATAAATAAACACAACATACTAAGTGATTACAAATTATAAACTATGAAACCAAAGTTGCTAACATTTTTAGTTCATAAGTCATAACCTTAACAATCTCGATAATTTATTAAATAGCTTGAGAGAATAAAATTAATGCTAATTTTTGCATGACACATAATTAAATATTATTAATTTTTAAGTAAAAAATCAAACAAATATCACATTTGACTTGAACCTTAAACATACAAAATTAAACATGTTTTAATTTTCTTTATATTTAGAAAATATAACACTCTTACACCATATTCATTTAAAAAATAATGTAATATTTTCAATTGTCACTATGTGCTTGAAGTAAAGATTGAACTTCTCTTATTTTTAATTAAAAACCACAAGTACGGATCAATATGTTTAAGGATATACATTGTAAGTGATATATTATTTGATTATCAACTATATATAGATCATGTCCATTAATAATATTTATTTTTTTATATTCTAACAATAGTTATAAATGATTAAACCAAACTGAAGTATCCCTTTATCTATTGTTATAGATAAAAAAAATAATATTTACAAATTTTTAAAAGATGAAAAACAGATTTTTTTTTTCCGAAAACCAAAATAAAATGGCACTAATTTTTCAATAAGAATATTTTTAAGTATATATATATATATAAAAAAAAAGATTGTTGTTGATACTTGATTGTATTGTTAGTGTCTGCATTGAGGGCATTGGCATTTGGCAGTGTGGTTCTTCTCATCCTAATCTACAATACAAGGTAAAGTTACGTTCTCTTTCTCTCTCTCAATCACTCGTATAAGTACCAAATCTATTCATGGCAGCCACCACTTGCTCCTTACACCGTCTCACTCGCCTCCGATTCATCGCCAACCCCCAACCCTTCCTATCACCTCATTCAATCCCGTTCCCATCCCATTTCTCTCTTATCCCCAAAACCAAGGTTCCCATCTCATCACTTCTTTCTCTTCTATCCCATTCTTCTAATCTCAACTTTCTCTCTTTCCTTCGCAGAAACCCAATCGATTCCGATTCTTCTCAATGGCCGCCGAGCCCAAGGAATCGCCCGCCAACAACCCCGGCCTCCACACAACTCCCGATGAAGCTACCAAGGGTTACATCATGCAACAAACTGTGAGTTTTCATCAATTCATATTTCTAGTTTATTATTAATTTATTGCCTTTTTTTTTTTTTTAATAACTCTTGTTTCACTTGCAGATGTTTCGAATCAAGGACCCCAAAGTGAGCCTTGATTTTTATTCTCGCGTCTTGGGCATGTCGTAAGTTTTTCTTTTAGATACGATGAAACATATTTTTGTGTTGCTTATTAATTTATTCATTAACCTTCTGCGAAACTAATAGAATTTAATAAGAATGAGACACTAGATTGGCATATACGGTAAGTTTTTAACTTTTATAGTAACTGCTTTAAAAGTTATGCCGAAATGATTTTGAACTAACATGTTGTTTCTAGGTAGTGTAACACATGGCATTGGTTTGGTTGTTAATTTATATTCACGAAGAGAGTTTAATGGTTACGTATCTGTGAAAAAGTTTTTACACTATTAACCAAATAGAAATTATTTTTGGTATGACTTTTGAGGTATTTATTGCCGGTGTCATGAAACTTACTAATGCATGGTGGTCTATGATTAGATGACATTTGGTGCATATCCTATTTTCTCATTTACAAATGTTATATGTCTAGCTACATTTTTTTTTTGAATTTCTTCTTCAGTTGTCAATGCTATAAATATAATTATAAATGCTGACGGTAGTTTGTTGGTTGGCGTAGTTTGCTTAAGAGATTGGATTTTCCGGAGATGAAGTTCAGCCTGTATTTTATGGGCTACGAGGTATGAACTATATTGTTGTACCTATTTTATTTGCCAGTGAAAATTTAGTTTTGTGATTTGGATTACTGGATGTGGATAAATGCTATGACGGCAATATTAAATATTTTCTAAATAATTCCTAAATGTCAACTATCTGTAAGTTCATATATAAAAAATTTTCTAATTATCATGGACATGCCCTTGGTCTTTTTCTTATATCTTTTTATTGTTGTTTAGAATACGACAGAAGCTCCAAGTAATCCATCTGATAGAACGGTTTGGACCTTTTCTCAGAAGGCTACAGTTGAACTTACACAGTAAGGAATATAAATATGTCCTATTTCTTTATCCCTGTGTTTCTTATCTAACATAACATAATGGACAGTAATTGGGGTACCGAAAGTGATCCAGAGTTCAAAGGGTACCACAATGGCAATTCTGAACCTCGTGGCTTTGGTATGTTGTGATGTTTCATTTCATTTTATTTAGTACAGATTTTGACTCTAAAGCCTTGGTCTTTTCTTGATTTTCTAGTTACACTTCGAGTTTGTTATCCACTTATCCTCTAAAAATGCTGAATTGCTGCTCTAGATAGTTACAAAGTTTAGGTCCTCATTTGATGCTTTGAGTTAACATTTAGTTCTGAATACTTTTATTAAATTTTTCTCTTGTACACTGGAACAGTTGTGTGCTCCCTTTCATTAAACAGGAAATGTCAACAGAGGCATTGATTTCATTAAATGATGAACTTATTAGGCTGTGATATTTGAAGTGTTTGTAGTGGACAATGTTAGATCACGTGAAAATATTCAATGTTAGATTATTCCTTAGGATTAGTATGTGTTTCCCCATTATCTATTAGGATCGGCTAATGTATTTCATATCTAGTGAGATACAATGAAAAATAACATGAAATATATCTTATAAGTGATGTATAGTTCTCAATATAATAATTCTTAACTAGAAATGGACAAAATAATTTAGCCGGAAGGGTCATAGGACGAAATCATATGTCGTAAATCATAACTGAATCATTTTATTTTTTTATCCTTACTTATTTAAGTTAAACCATTTTTTAAATTAATATATGCCTACCTAGTACCTACTAGCTGTTTAAACTGTTTTTATTCACACGAGGGGATGCTCATCACTATTATATGTGAGTCTGCATTCCTTTTAAGTTTGTGCAATGTGCAGTACCCAAAGAATGCAGATTGCTTGTAAAAGTTAGTTTTCGTGGTCACCTTGGTGATCTAGCTTTCATGTCATTGACATATCTATAACTAATTTTTTACTGGCTAAATTTTGTACTAGTTTTCATGTCATTAACATGGCTGTAATTAATTATTTGTTTCCATGGCTATTTACTAATTACTATATACTTTTATTTTATTTTTTTAGTTTCTTTGTCTTATTGGATAAATAGGAGATTGAATTCTAATAATAAGTTGCTCTCTGATTACAGGACACATCGGCATAACTGTTGATGACACCTACAAGGCATGTGAAAGATTTCAGAATCTGGGAGTTGAGTTTGTTAAGAAACCGGATGATGGTAAGAACAATTGTACAGCAGCACAAAAGAGAAATTAGGGGAAAACTTGAGATTAAGTATTATTGTGCAGCTGTCCAAGGAGATTTTCTCCTTGCAACTGACTGATTCAGTTAAAGCATAAAGAATAAAACTTAATTGCCGTTCATAGGTTCAGCATTCCTAAATATATGTAAGCACCTAATTTCCTTAATGGCCCTTTGTTATATTTATTCTCCTAGTATACACATTTCACTCCTTTTCCCAGGTTGGGCATCTCTCAGCCGGGCCTATGCCCCTAACACAGTGAGAGGATATTTTTCTTTTTAGTTTTAAATTTTATGGAGGGGACGTTCTTCTGTTTAGGCTTTATCATCTTGTTAGATTTAACTATGAAATGCAAAAGATGGGGTGCGATAGTTGAGACACAGTAATTCTTTCAGGTTGTCTAATTAATGCAACATAATTATAATGTTGTGTATCAATTAAAATTTAAAAGAAGACTTAGATATAATGGCAAAAATACTATTGGTACTGTTCTTCAATCAGAATTAGAAATTTTCATGGTAATACACGTTGATGAAATCCTTTATTATGCATATTATCAAGATGAAACTACAATTTTGATTAAAGAACAAAACCAATGGTACTGACCACACCACATCACACCAAAACTTGGCTTCTGTACGTATACCGGTGCTACTGTCATCTGATGTTGGTGGTAGAACAACCATTAGATAAAATTGAGCATATTATATTTGACAAACTATCTGGCATTTGGGCCCCCAATTGTTAGCTGCAATTTTTTTAGTAACTTGTGATGCTCAAACGTTGAATGTCAATGGTAAATGTCTGAAATATGCTGATTCCATCATATTTTTTTCCCCAGCATTACTGCTTCAAACATTATCTTCAATTTTTCTTTATTTTGAGTTATTTTCTGCAGGGAAAATGAAAGGTATAGCATTTATTAAGGATCCTGATGGATACTGGATTGAAATCTTTGATCGAAAGACAATAGGAATTGCTACTCAAACTGCTATTTAGGCTTAAAATAACACCTTCAGCCTTCAGGTAAAACACTCTGGTTTTCTATTCCTTTGCCTTTATTAACTTGTATTTGTTTTACCTCCTGAATCTAATGTCCTCACAAAATTTTCTATCTGATAAAATAAGATGTAATAAAAGAACCATGTTACATGGATATCAAAAATTTGCTTCAACGGGCTAAATTATGTATATCTGTCAAATTTGCTATCTGCATATCTAATTCAGAAACAAAAAGCCACTCGATTTTTTATAGTTGATTATTCTTTGGAACAATCTTTATGAAATTTTAAGTGAGTAATGATTAATGGGCGTCTCACTAAGCAAAACCGAGGATGCAAACGGAAGTAGTTCATTTAAAGTCAGCTTATCTTAAAAGTGAGTACGTGTATAACCCCTTAGATCATTTAATGTTTATAAAAATAAATAAAAATTTAGCACAATATGTTTATAATTATTTGAAAAATTATTAAATTAGAGAATTGTTAGAAATATGAAAAATTTGTCCTCTTATTTCCCCCCGAAATCCAACTCCCAACCACATCCATATTGGTTAAGATCGTGATGTACTTTCTTTAACAGTGGATGAATGGATGCACAATTGCACCCTTGCTAGCTAAGCTCACATTAGATGAATCTTTTAACATTCAAACGCTTATTTGCAACTCTCTGATGGAGTTGGTTGGATCAGAATGCCGGCATCATCAAAGGGGTCTATTCACTGTTAAATTTTGGCCTAATTCTAAAGTTTTTTCAAAAGTCCATGGCTGTTGTATAGTGTTTTCACATGCTTTTTGCTATGAAATCTTATGTTTTTTGTCACAGGCCCGGCTCTTGTGTGATACATTTTCATCTCCGCAGATTTAATTGGGTGTTTGCTCCGATGTAGTATTTTTCAGCTTCCTGTGAAGAATGAATAATTTGTAGTCAAACCAGAATGAATAACAAGGATTGTGTTGAATCTTATAAATATATATTTTTAACTAAAAATACATTATAATTCGTATTGTAGAAGCCTAGAATGAATTATGTTTTATTTATTTATTTACTTATCATGAGTTATGCTTTTATTGACCATCATTAAAACATGTAAAAGAATAAAAGACACTATTGTAATATTTATGATTCTTACCGGTGAGTTAGGGGGTCTTAGAATCAACTCAACGCTGAAGACCCAGCCCAGCTACGTAGTTTTAACTTTTACACGAGATCGCAATTCCAGTAGGTGGCCCAGTCTCGGGTCAGGCTGGGTTTGGGTTAAATGTCAGGTTACCCAACTCAGGCCATATATATACGTAAGATAAAACAAAAAGGTTTACTTGGAGTTGGAGATTATGTGTGTTTTGATGTGGTGTGCTGAATCCACAGTGAATTATCATGATTTTATTTATCTGTTGCTTAAAAAAAAATAAAAATAAAGCACTAAAATTAACTTGTATATACTAATTTGTAAAATTTAACTTATTTCTATATTATTTCTAGTAACCTAATATGTCACTTCTCACGTCCATCTATCGCTTTTTCTTTAAACTTGCTTGTCACGACACGACTAAATAATACATGTATTCCAATAAGTAATAAATAAGATATTTTATATATTAGTAGGTTACTAGATTTTTTTATTTTAATTTTTAATAGTTTAATTATCCTTTTGTTAAAGTGTGAAGTTTATTAGTTTCTATAATTAAAAATATTATATTTTAGTTATTATAATATTGTTTTTTTAGTCTTTATAGCTTTAAGAATTTTAGCATTTAGTCTCTATAACAATAGATGACAATAATAAAAAGAATAAAAAATATATAATATAAGAATAAAAATGGAACATTTTTAACTATAAGAACTAAAATATAATATTTATGAAATTATAGTTCTAAAATGGTAACTAAATTATTTTTAATTAAACTTTTAAACTAAAAAATTGTTGGTTTAACTATGTTTTTAATATTTCAAATTTGGTGAATATATTTTGCTGGTCTCATTTTTTATTTTGCTGGATGGTTGGTCTCAATTTTAAAATTATGTTTAGTCTCAAATATTAAAAGTTATTATTTTGATCTTTTAAATTTAAATATCTTTTGTCTTGTAATTTTAAAAAATATTATTTTTTTCTCTCAAGATCACTAATAACATAATTGAATGTGTTAAATTGAAATAATTAAGTATTATCAGTTGACTTAATATGATATTTTCATGAGGACAATAATAGGATAATTATGTGACATATTAATAGATGAATTTTATTTGATAGATTTATCAATGACATTTGAGTAGAAGAACTAAAATATTACTATTTTTATATATTTTAGAACTAAATATAACTTTTAAATTTGAGAGACAAAAATATAGAGGAATTAAAATAATATTGTTTGAAACTACATGGCTAAACATTACTTTTAAATTTGAGCAACTAAAAAAAATATTTTTCAAATTTAAAAAACTAAAAATATATTTTAATAAAAATTGTAATAAGATCCTTGATCTTTTATAATCTGTGTGTGAAATCAGTAAAACTTTCACAAAATATTATTTTTGTAGTGGTTTCATACCATCATATATTAATTTCAGAAATTTTATTAAAAAATTAAAAGATTAAGAATACATTTACATTTTTTTAAGCTTAAGACAGTTAAAAAATTTCAAAAAGTTCATAAACATAAGGAGACTAATTTTCGTGTTTTTGAAGCACAAAATTGTAGTAGGAGCTTTCTTGGTCACTTTCATAGATATTGTGCATAAAGATATGTAATGTCCTCTCTAGCTGGCAACAGCATGCAAAAGAGACAAGATTTGGAGAGGTGCAATGCAACCAGTCCCGAGAAACTCATGATTGTGACCTGAAAATGAAACCTTCATAACTTGTCAATGCAAAACAAGCTTCATCTCTTTTTTCAACAAACTATAAATCCTCACATACTTCCTCGTACGCTACATGTCAAAAATTATTCATCCGCATACTCAAATCTACATTCAAATACCAAAAATAAAAAATATAATAAGTGACATAATATAATAAAAGTTAAAAATAAATTTTGCTCTTTTATTTTTATTTTTGTGTCAGTTTATCCTCTAATTTTTTTAAGAAATATTTTGATTCCTTCAAGTTAGAGGTGTCAATCATGTCTAGTATAGATCAATGATTTCAAAATTAAAATGAATGAGTCCATTTACATATATGCATAGACTCGTGTAGATCGGAATCAATCATTTGACAACTCTAATTAAAGTGTCTTATATATTATTAGACCAAATCAGTTCACTCTTCAAATTTTTACACTAACTAATGTCACCAAATTAACTAAATTAATATGATAAATTGATAGAATGGTCTACTTGATCTAATAGACATATTGTAAGGTATCAATGCGAACTTTTTAAATACAAAAGATTAAGTTCAGGCCAAATATTACAATGAGGAACGAAAATTTTATTTTAACCTATAATAAATAATAAAAATAATTAAAAGTATCGATTAAATATATAAAAAGTATTAAATATTCACACACCTAATTTAACAGTGACATGACAATTAAAAAATATCTTTTAATTATACATAAAATTAATCACTTATACACTGCTAGTGTAAAGATCTTTTACACTGACAATTAATTATATCTTTTATGTGTTATATCACTAATATACTTTTAACAGTGATATAAAATAATTAAAAAATATAATTAATTGTCAATGTAAAAAAACTTTATACTAACCGTGTATAGATAATTAACTCTTATATATATATATATACCTAATTTAAATTTGAATGATCTAGAATGACTAGATTCTACAGATAAAGGAGTCAATGTACAACCTTGATTTCTGTAACATAAATGAATTTTTTATTATTATTACTTATACACATAACTTTTACTTAATGAAAACGTCAATAGTAGGTTAAAAAGTGAAAGGTTAGCTTACGGTTGTCTTATATTTAATTGTATATTAATCATAAATTTTCAATTTACAATTGTATTGTATGATATAATTACTTTAACTTAACTATGCGTGTACATACATGCAGTCTTTGATATTGGTTTCCTAATATTAAAATCCGAGCCCTGAAGAAAGAATGCAGGTAATATATATGGTCCAATATTCAACGAGAGAAGTCATTAATATTAATCTAGACTTGGAGTAAGTCGTGGTGTGGTCACAGCAATATGAAACGATAATTAGTTAGTCAAATTGTGTTTGGTTTGCTTTTTAACCAATGCGTATGAACATACGTAATGGAATACTTAAAATGTCTTTGTTTACATTACACACTGTCAATGGCTTTTCACTATTTTCCACTTTGTTCGATATTCAATGTATTGGTGGTAGAAAATATTCTATGAACAGGTTGAAACAAAGAAAGTGAAAACCATATATGCATGTACAATGGATAAAATAAAATAATCACTCACATGATGTGATGACTGTTCTTGTATATATATAGGTCGCGGACGATAGTCAATCAGAGTCCACCAGCTGGATGGTTAAGACCTAAAACAACTAATAAATTCTTAATAATAATTCATTGTTAATTTAATAAAATGGACTATGTTAATTATTTGTGATATGGGGTTCAATCTATGGTTCACACAGAAAATATTACTTCCAAGTTTAGTTATAACCAATAAATTATATTTATTTATTTATTTATTTTAATTATAAACAACAATTATAACTAATATTAAATATAATAATTGTTTAAAACAAATGGTATTAGGAATAAAATATAAATTTGTAGCATAATTAATTAAAAATGATTAACTTTATTATTATTTTAAATAATTTATCTTATATTTCTTATAATTAGGATGAAAGATAATAAGTTTAAACATAAAAGCAATTTAATGTAATAGCATATATTTATTACTAATTTGTAACTTTATTTAATTATTAATTACTTATATATACATCTTAAAAATATAAAATAAATTTCAATTTTTTTTATCTCTTGTCAATAGTCATCACTAACCGGTGTCGTACGCAATAACATATATTCCTGAGTTTATCAGAGTCACAACAATTCACTAAGAGCATCTGTAATGGGGATTGCTTATAAGCAATCCTCTGTGCCACATCACTGCTATATCAGTTCTAGCCCACTTTATGAATTGTTTAAATTTTAGCAGAATTGCTTGTAGAAATAATTTTACTAAAATTTAAGTAATTTATAAAATAAGTCAAAATTGATTTGACAGTGATATGACACAGAAAATTACTTATAAGCAACCTTTTGAACATGCTCTAATTCAGTATCACAAATTATGAGTGGTAACGTGAGAGATAACATAAACTAGTACGTGCAATGTAACGCTGAAAATTATGTAAATGAATATTGAATACTCGTTTTGACTTGTAGCTTGAGTGTGATTTGACAGCCAAGATAGTTAAATTATTCTGTAAATTTGATTTGACAAGTTATGTCAGATAAATTAATAGAAATTAATTTATTGTAATTTCAGATATGAAAAAATAGATTCTCCAAAAGTGTTCCGAAAATTATTCCGAACAAATAAAATATTAATTTAAATTATAAAATATTAAATTAAATAATTATTTTATAATAAATTTATTATAAAATATTAATATTTTATTATTTCGGAACGTGATTCGGAAATGGTTTTCGAAGGAAGGATGAAGCATTGCTCTTTCAGATATAATTATATAAATGGAGAGAAGTACGAAAAATAATAGGGAGAGAAATTCTTTTTGTTTTACATATTTTATTTTATTTTTAAATAAAAATATTTTGTAACGATGTGATAAATCCTTCCATTTTACATTCAATTACTAATCGTGGAAGACATAATAACTATTAGGGATTAAAGAGAAGATATATCTAGTAACTAAATATATATGCAATATTATATGTATGTAAAAATGTTATCAACAATTATAATAATAAAATAAATTTTTTATGAGACTATAACTATAATTATATAAGTGTACACGTATATATATATATATATATATATTTTAATGTAAGCACCTTTATATACGATAGAGAGAGAGAGAGAGAGAGAGAGAGAGTAATTCAGTATTGAAAGTCTAAATTTAGGTTATTCGA